GTCCCCCCTGTGACTCCCCTTGGCCTGACCACAGGCGCCCCCTTCTGGGAATCCTCCGACTCACTTGAAAGACTCATGGAATCCCTCAAGTCATCGTCATCCTCTTCCTCGCTGCCCTGGGATTCTTCCCCCTCGCTCTCTGCCTCCTCCCTCACCTGTGCCTCTGTCCCTGAACCCCTGACAGATATATATTAATAAAGTGAAAGGATCTGATGCACAGTTTTAACTGTTTTTAATTCTGAATTTTAAATTGTAACCTGCCCTGAGACCTACTGTTCTGTGTCCGTGTTTAATAACAGCAGCAGCAGCAACAACAACAACTTCTGATGCACTGTCAAAATGGGCTCATTTGGAAACTTTGTTTAGCTGTGTTTTTAGTATTTATTTGTATTGCTGTGTTTTTAGTTTTTTATTGTTGGCTTTAATGTAATTTGCTTTGAGCTGCTTGGTGAGAAAAGCATCTAAGAAATATAATAGATAAATAAAATAACCAAAAAGTTGTTTTAAGGCAAAATCAGTGGGATTTTGAGGGGACACATCTGGGTTGGACAACTGAGCATCGTGAAGAATCAAGATTAATGTGTTCATTAAAATGTATATATAGCTTTTCATGATGTGATTAGGTAGTAAGTGGTCAAAGGGAAAGTACCGTAGTGTATAAACTGCTTCTTGGACATTACTCACACATTCACCATAGAGCTATGCACATCTTGTTAGGGAAATTAAATGAGCTGAATGTGGATGCAAATGTTGATGTTTGTAGGTGGCCAGCTCACAGGGGATAATGAGAAAATGGAAAAGCGGAGCATAATGTAACATAGAATCATAGAATTGGATGGGACCCCAAGGTTCAACCCTCTGCTATGAAGAAATCTTAGCACACAGACTCCCATCCAATTTGAAACCATCCCAGACCTTGCTTAGCTTTGCAAATGGGCTGGCAGTTTTATTGCTGCACCACGGACCACTAGGAATCAGCGATGGGTCCTTTTATCTTTGCAAACAACTTCAGGAACAAAATGTAAAATCAATAGGGATAAATGTCAGGTTCTGCACTCAGATTCCTGCATTTCAGGGGGTTGGAGTAGATGACCCTTGGGGTCCCTTCCAACTCAATGATTCTGTGATTCTATAATAGGTATGAGTGCCACACCTGTGTTTTCATTTACCCCATAAAGTTTTCTTACCACCTGCCCTACTCCTTTTGTTGAAATATTAGCTTGGACCTAGTAGTGTACTCTTGGCTAAAGTGCTTTTGGTGACATCAGAGTAGATCAGCTGCAGTCATTAAGAGATTTGAATTTAGGATCTACGAGCAACGTCTGTGAAATTAAGCCGTGTAGTTATTGCTTTTCAGGGAAGAAGAAGAGGAGGGAGGGAGGGAAGAAGGGAGGGAGGGAGGGACAGAGAAGAAGCGAAGGAGGGGGAGAAGGGGAAATGTGGTGAGCAAACCCAAACTGTAATAAAATAAAATAAAATAAGCATTCAAAGAGCTCTAAGAAGTCAGGTCATATACTTCTGAATTTAGTGGCAGCATCATGACTATTAAATACTATTAATCCCTTGACTGGCAGGTCTCATGCAAGGTCTGTGGTTTGGGACATGATGCAATAGCCCCTGAAGATGGTATATGGCCCAAAACTTGGTTAAGAGCTGAACATCTGAAGTTTGATTGATACTTATTGATAGAAATTATTTGAGCAGTTAATTAAAAAAAGACTTTTGATGTATTTTAATTTGGCATTGTAAGGTGTGTGTGTGTGTTTAAAAATGTAAGTCACTTTGAGATTATTTTTTTGTAGTAAGCGACACATCATCCTCATCATCAAACAAACAAACCATCACTTGCCACAGACAGAGAAAACAGCCGCTGCTTTTTAGGTAGTGCCAGAGCTTTTTAGAGAGAGAAAAAGCGTTGTGAATGTTTATGAGAAATTCATCGTAGGTAATAGAACTTCACAAACACACACACAGAAATCCAAAGAGCCGCATGCACAAGCTTCTATGTGAGTGAACACGCATTGGGCTTTCCTAATTTCCCATTCCAATGCACAGTGCACTGGAACATTTTCTGAAAGCTTCATTGACTTTTGGGGAGTTTTTGCCGGCTGCACTGCTAGAAGTGAGGCTTGTGCCTGAGAAACTCCTGCTGCCGCAGAGAAGTTCTGCACACAGCCATTTAGATCCCACCCATGAGTTTCTAAGTAGTAGGAAGGATTGCAGAAGCTAATGGATATAATAGCTGCAAAGTGGCTAATATACCCTGCTGAGAGAAATCTGAGGGGAAGAATGGCTATCCAGTGATATCAATCTGCAATGCGATACATGGCTCAGAGAGCAAATGGCATGTTAAGCCGTATAGAGAACTGTTTGGGCTTCATATTTAGGAAGCAGCCTCTCACTCCACTCCTCTGCCCTGTCCGTGTTTCAGGGTCTGCGTTCTTATCTGGGCACCTCAGTTCAGGAAATGCATGAGACCATTTGGAGAAGATCCAGAGAGTAGCAATGATCTTATAGTCCTATAAGGGGCTTTAGGAAACGACCTTTTTTTTTTTACGAAAAGAACACAATGTTTAGAACCTCTGAGCCTATTATGTGGGGCCAGGAATAGTAATAGTTTCCCTTGCCAGGTCACAGGAGAATTGGATCAAATCTCTTCCCCTTTCACATTCCTCAGCTAGAGCCAAGTAAAATGTTTCCTCATGGTGGATGTATCCTAAGACAAATAGGAAAACTTTGCCCTTGAATAATGTCCACAAGACTTTGCTGTTTTAGATTTCAGGTGTCTTTTGAATACTTGCAATAATTCTGAATTGGGTCAACAGAAGAACAAATATGTAATGGCATTCAAAAAACAACAACTGTGGAAATTTTATTGGATAGATGGTGAATAGTGCAGTTGAAACCTCAAAGAAATAACCTAAGAGCATGAGAAAACCTTCAGCAGATTAGGCCAGTTGTCATCTAGACTGGTGAATCTCATGCGTCTAGAAACTTGGCAAGCCAGGCATGCAGGCAACAGCCCTCCCTTGTTTGTCCTCATCTTTATTTTAAAGCATGCTGCTTTGGAATATGGAGGCTTTATTTAACTATCAACACAAGCATTGATAAAGCAATCTGAGCAAGAGACCATCACATCGTGTTGCAATGCATTTTATATGTTAATTATGCATTGTGTAAAGAATCACTTTTTTTTTGTCTGTCCTGAATCTACTACTAATCGTTTTCATACGGTGAATTATTTTTGGTGGTTCTGGGGCTATACGAGGGTTTTGCTCTATTCACTCTCTCTGCACCCTTCTTAATTTTAGAAACTTCGTTAATGTCCCTCTTTTTTCTAAATAAAAAAGGCCCCAAATACTTTAATAATTCCTCAGAAGGAAGACCCACAATTAGCTAGAATGATCACTATAATCTGAAAATTATTCTTTTTTTAAAAGACCAGTGGCTTCTATAGTGCAAAATTCTAATTTTTTACAGCATTTTTCCAGTTGCAGCAAAGTTTTCCGCATGCCCAGTGTCTGTCACTACAACTGTTCACCTATCTGGTTTTGAGACTCCTAAACATTAATCATGGCAATTATCAAAATTTCCATTCTGATGTCAACAGAACATTTGGTTCATCCAACCATTTCCAGGTACATCACCCTGGGAGGAAGGGCAGGATAGGAATTTAATGGGTGGAATTCAATGTAACACTAAGGGGATTGCTCCATCACTGAAGCATGTCTGCTTGCCTGATGGAACAGTCTCCCCCCCCCACATTATTCTGGGTTTCTTTTCCCAACACCCCCCAGCGTATTTGGGGGACAAGAGGGCATATGGAGGAGGAGAAGAGGGGAATTCCTTGTTGCTGTAGGAGATCTCCTTGCGTGGTTGTCCACTAGCGAGATAAGTTAGTTGCATCTAAACCAATTAATAATAATTATAATATATGCACAGATATACTGTGGGAAATGGGTAATGATGGAAGTACCCAACAATACCCAGATTGGTTGAAATATATGCACTAGCAGTGTTCATCAGCTCTGTGTGCACTGTGAATTGTGAGGGAAACCGGGGTGACTCAGAAAAGGTTCTCATGTTTCTGAGTTTGATTCAGCTACTAAGAAGGCATCCCACTGAATAAAAATTGTAAATTAAAACGACAAGAAGTTTGTCCCAAGGCAGATTCTGAAAGCTTCTGAGTGGCTCTGTGGCTTCGGCTCCAAGAAAAAAATCCTCACCCCACCACACACATCTGTTTTTTGGATATTTTTTTAAGAAATAAAACCAAGTTACCTAGCATAACCATCATGGTAGTGGTGAATGTATGCAAAAATGTGTAAATGTTAAACACACTATATTTCAATGCATGATTTCAAATGTTGAAATACATTCTCTCTCTCTCTCTCTCTCTCACACACACACACAAAATTTTCTGTTATACAATTTAAAATACTCATTTTTACATCCTTAAGATATCAATGACTTCCCTTCTTCTCTTTCCATGGTTCATTTTACATATCATGAATCCCTGCTTATTTTACAAAAAACTATACCATTCAGCATTCCATTACTGGATCCATCAAAACTTATTTACACTGTTGAATTTATCTTAATGCTGCCAGCATTTTTAGCTGTGCACAATTATTTCCCATTTATTCAACAGACGTTTTCCAATCTTCTCTAAACATACATTCTTCTTCTTCGCTTATTCTATATGTTAAGTCTGCAAGCTGCGCATATTCCGTCAGCTTAAATTGCCATTCTTCTTTAGCTGGGACCTTGTTCATTTTCCATTTTTGGGCTAACGAAACATGGGCTGCAGTCGTGGCATACATAAACAACCTTTTTTGACACCTGGGAACTTCAGTCTGAATTATCCCCAACAAAAAGGACTCTGTTTTCTTTTGGGAAAGTACTTTTTAACAATCAAATGTTGAAGCAGATTCTGTTCCAGTTCCGTGTGTGTATCCCCCCCCCATCAGCTAATAGGTCCCTGTGCTTCCTACCCACAGGCTGTTAGGCAGAATGTCCACAGATGAGCGGCACCTCACCTCCAGTTGTGGATCCTTCATCAAGACTGAGCCGTCCAGCCCATCTTCCGGCATCGACGCCATCAGCCACCACAGCCCAAGTGGTTCATCCGACGCCAGCGGTGGCTACGGCATCACTATAGGCGGCCACCCCAATGGCCTGGATTCACCACCCATGTTCAGCAGTGCGGGGATTGGCGGAGGGCCCTGCCGCAAACGGTACGACGACTGCGCCAGCGCCATCATGGAAGACTCGCCCACCAAGTGCGAGTATATGCTGAACGCCATCCCCAAGAGGCTGTGCCTAGTGTGCGGGGACATTGCATCCGGGTACCATTATGGAGTGGCGTCCTGTGAAGCATGCAAAGCCTTCTTCAAGAGGACAATTCAAGGTATGGGGCCCGGGAGAAGGGATGCAAGCAATGTGACAAAATGGGTTCTTTGGTTTGCAAGTAGAAGCTGTTGTCGTATGTTTCCCAGTAACTGAAATAAGATCTGGGGTGTGTTATGTTTGTAGAAAAGGGTGAGAGCTGACAGTTGAGACTCTTGGTGAATGTGGAGTCAGACTGCAGGGTACCCAAGTGAAAAATGAAACGCTTTGCAATCCTTACCATTTGGGTCAGTAGGAAGCAGTGTACATGTGAAAAGGATCTTCTAGGCTGCATCAGCAGAAGTATAGTGTCCCGATTAAGGGAAGTAATAGTCCCACTTTATTCTGCCTTGGTCAGACTACACCTGGTGTATTGTATCCACTTCTGGGCACCACAGTTTAAGAAGGATATGGATAAGCTGGAAAGGGTCTGGAAATCAAGCCCTGTGAGGAATGGTTGAGGGAGCTGGGTGTGTTTAGCCCAGATAAGAGGATACAGAGAGGAGAAATGGTAGCCACCTGCATATATCTAAAGGGCTGTCACATGCGAGATGGAGCAAGCTTGTTTTCTCCTGCTGTGGAGGGTAGGACCCAGACCAATGGCTTCAAGTGACAGGAATGGAGATTCTGATTAAACATCAGGAAAAACTTTCTGACCATAAGAACGGTTTGAGAGTGGAAAGGATTCCCTTGGAAAGGTGGTGGACTCTCTTTCATTGGAGGTTTTTAAGCAGAGGTTGGATGGCCATCTGTCATGGATGCCATATTTGAAATTCCAGCATTGCAGGGGGTTGGACTAGATCAGTGGTTCTCAACCTGTGGGTCCCCAGATGTTGTTGGACTACAACTCCCATCATCCCTGAGCTCTGGCCTTGCTAGCTAGGGGTAATGGGAGTTGTAGTTCAGCAACATCTGGGGACCACAGGTTGAGAAAGGCTGGACTAGACCATTCTAGATGATCCTAGAGTCTTCCAACTCTACAATTCTATGATTCCGTGACAGGCACTGAATTTATTTATTTATAAAAATATTTGTATACTGCTATACAATAAAAATATATCAGCGATGCCCTGCCCTCCTGCCACTGCTCTGATCAAAACTGGAGCCTCCAATGGCTGCTTTAAAGGGGGTTGGGGAAGATTCGAACACACATCTCCTGTGTCACATCTCTTTCAACCCTGAGACTTCCAGGGCCTTGTTCATTTAAAGTAAGGGCATCCTCATGCTTGTCATGTTTGATTGTTATTATGGGTTGACCCTTATTTTTGCTTGTGACAGTGAAGTCATGCTCGGCAACTTTACAAAGAAGGGCCACTGTCGATTTCCATGGCTTTCAGCTGTTAACATGTTAGCAATCCTGTGAGATAGGATCATTGGACACCCTCAAGGTTCTCATTTATATTCAGTCTGTATATCCCTTAGCACCTATTACCACTTCAAAATGTGTGTGTCGGGGGGCGAATGACAGAAGATGCATTAATACAGAGTTATGGTAATATTATTCATCAGCCGATGCTACAGAACCAGGAAATGCCTCCTAACAATAGCTGGCAGTCACTTCACTGTAACAGTTGTTGAACGTACATCAAAAATAGCCGTGTGCTTCTGCAGCAGCAGCCAAGTGCTGTTCAGTCCTGACAGAAAGAGAACTTTTGAATTAGAGGATGTAAAAAGGGTACAGAATGCTCCTTGTGGGTTTCTGTTGGGGTGGGGTGGGGGGCAGGGGTAGCTATTCCAAAGTTAGACCTGATGTATATGTTCTCCACAAGGAGAATAAGTTTGAGCCTCTCCCTCTTCCAGAGAAGGGCTTTCTTGGACCGCTCTGAAAATGACTGCAGCGCAGCGCTCTGTGCTGAGTAGTTGTGGGATAGAGTACTTCTATTTTAGTTAATAACAATGCCCCCAGTGTAGCCTCTCTCTACAGAATTATGGGGAATGGACCATCTTTCATTTCATTTCATTTATTTTCTCACATTAAGGAGTGAAAATAGGCCCCAAGCTTCAGCTTGCATCTGCGTTTGTGCATTAAAACAAAATCCATCTGTTTCTGGATTGTTCTTTGCTCTCTTCATGTTGATTCTGTAATTTGGGTTCCAATCCATTCTGTGTAAAATGAGGCTCTGTGTTCTCCATTCAGCAGAATGGGAAATCCAAAAATGGACTATACGTTTTTTCCTCTTTCAGCCAAAACGGATGAAATTTACGAGCCTGGGAGACCCTCCGGAGTGTGTCTTGTTTGTAGTACGCTAAAAAAACACACCAATGTTGTAGCTTCACACCAGCCTTTCCTTTCCTTTCCTTTCCTTTCCTTTCCTTTCCTTTCCTTTCCTTTCCTTTCCTTTCCTTTCCTTTCCTTTCCTTTCCTTTCCTTTCCTTTCCATCCTATTCCTTGTTTGTTTCTTCCAGTAGACCTTACAATGTGAGGCTGTCCAAAATGTTGTCTAGAGAGTTCCAAAGAGCTCTTTTTTTTGTTTTGTTTTGTTAAAACAGCGCAATGTAGGGTTTTATTTTTTTAAAAAAAACACAACCACACACACAACAACCTTAAATGAAGCTTTCATCTTGTTTTAAAAATAGTCTGCTTCTGTGCTTTAACAACTACAACAAAATCCAGAGCTCCTGGGTGCTTGGCAGGCATTTTGTACAGCCTCACTTCTTGCAAAGCCCAATGCCTTAAAGAAACATAGAAATACAGGAGGTACAGAAATTACAGAGTGGCACAAGACATAAGGGGGGCTGCTAATCGAACTTGATTGTGTGCCTGTATGGATTCCAACTCGCCTTGTTATTTGCGACCCACCTTGAACTGATGCACACTCCTATATAACGCCCCATCTTTCTGACTGCTACAATATGGCTTACAGTCAGAACAAAGGCAATGCAGAATAATAATAAACAATGTTTTCCACAATACCACAGAGCAATGCAAATTAGGGGTAGTTTTAAAAGGCAGGCACCTCCCATATGGATGGTGCAGATGGGACAGAGTGGTCATCGGCAGTAGGTTCTGCTGAGATGCAGGTGTCCTGGCATCTGTGTGAGGATGCTGATACGACCCCCAATCCTCTACTCCTGAATTCTGGGAATGGGAGCTAGAAAATAGCAGGATGCCGTTTCTGCTCTTGTTCACAGGGAAAGGATAAAAGGTTGAGCTCTCAATATTTATAGCAACCCTGGCCAATCCAGGGGCCGCATGCTGTCTGTCAACCCCCAGGACTGCTGATGTTGCATATCTCTGTTCTCTTCTGGGCCAAAGAGGGCTCTGAGATCTTAGCACACAAAGTCCTGGGTTGTTTTGCAAGATTATGTCCCAGTTCAAGCCCTGGATCTCCTAGCTAGCCCACTCTTTGAAGCCATTTCCCTCAATTATGCTTGGTCAAATAGGATGAGTGACACGCTCAAAGCATACTCTCACACACATGTGTGAGCATGCATGCATGTGTGCATCTTTCGCTGCTGCTCATTGGTGTGCGCAGGTTCCTCCTCTGGCTTCTGAAGACACCCTGGAACTCTTTCGGCTGCCAGATCGCCCCAAGTCCACAGTGACTGAAGTGGCAGCGTGACTGCCAGCCGGTGGGAAGGCTGTTGGAATCCCAATGAGTTAATCTCATCACTTTATCACAGGGCACTTACAGAAATTGCAAGGCAGCGTGAGTGGTTCTGTCCTGTTGGCAGGCAGCCTCAGGACCCATAAAAGAAATTGGGAAAGTTGTGGGAGGTGGGGGTGGGGAGGAATAAAACAACAACAACAACAACAGAGCAGAGAACTTTGCTAAATTTTGAAGAGAGTTGGTTACCTTGAATGAGGTTGACTGCTACCTTCTTTTACCTGTGTTCTTCTCTAAAGAAGAGAGAAAGAGGGGTTTTGCTGCTTAAGCCTATCTGCACCCATTCATTGCATCACATTGCTCTTACTACCAGACACAATACAAGGTGATCTGATGGCATTAAGGTTTATCGGCGATACTTTCATAGTTCCTCCCTTTTAGTCAGGGACAACATGAATGCACCGGAACAGTTTTTTCTTTGTGACTTGGTACAAAGTTTGATAAAAGGATGTGCAGGTCACAAAGCAACATTGCTGGCTGATTCTTGACACCAGATTTATTTGTTTGTTTTGTTTGTTTGTTTGTTACCTGAAGATGGATAAAACTCTAGGTTTGCTCTGAAGGAATTGTACCCTTGCATTTGAAAGTGAGAAATGGGTTATTTAAATAAAGGAATGCAAAACAGACAAACCTGCTGTGCTTTCCAGGTCCCTTCCAACTCTGCAATTCCATGATTCTATAATTCTTTGATTCTTTTGTGTGTGTGTGTGTGTGTGTGTGTGTGTGTGTGTGTTTGGGTGAGGGGAGGCACTGCAGAAAAGCAGGGATTCTGTGGCTGGCTGGCTGTACCTGCCTTGCTACTGCAGTTCATTTGTTAACTAGAGATCAAGCTTGAATTTCAATTTCCAGCTTTTAGAGATATTTGATACTTCCTTGGCTATTGAAATTCAGGCACTGTGCAATGCCACGGTATAGACTGAATGGAAGCAGCTGGTACCGCACTCCAAGCTCCTGAATCTAACCATGTGGTGGCAGGGCTGTGTGAGCATGCAGAAGGGCATCAGAGAAATGAAACTGCCTCACGCTGGTGTTGACTGTCAGGATGTGGGTCTTAAAAGATAATACTCTGAAGGTGAAACCCTTTTGTAAGGCAGGCAGGCTCAGCATCGTTGGGGGTTGCAGTGTTCCTTAATAAGCCCCAGGAGTTAACTAGTTCATCCTGCTGTTTTGGCAGTGTGATAATTATTCTTTTAAAAAACAAGTAGCAATTTCAATGTGATTTTCAGTCCTTAGCTCATTTCAGAACCAGAAGCTATGCCTGTAATGGGACCGCTGCCCAAAATGGCAACCCATGTTGAAGTTTTTCCTCCTCTCCTTGTATGTCATTAAGGAAATGCCTGACATTATATCATCATGCCATATGCTTTCCTGCATTCTCCAGCATCAGCCAATGATGTGGCGCAAGGGATGGGGAACTATGTGATGTTGCACCACATTTTTGCCAAAAACTGAATGGCAGGGCGCAGTTGCTTTTAATAGCGGCCCTATGCTCCAAGTCATATCTCAACCCAGCTTCATTCATTCCAGTATGGACCATGTAAGAAAGATTATCTAAAGTTAAGAGATGATGTACTAAGACTGCCGGATGGTGACTTGTCACCTCAGTACATTTCCTCCCTCTATGCATAAATAAACTTGGGTTCAAGACCATATCCACTGATTAGGTTTCTCTTCTCAAAGTACTTTGAAAAGACATGCCGTGTGTGTGTGTTTCTGCATATATGTGAAAGGGTAATGTCAGAACCGTATCTGCAAGAAATCTTTTCTAGAATCTTCATCTTCACTGTTCTTCGTCTGCCACCTCACCTTCACTATTCATGAATTTATAAACTTCTGACCATCTCCCTTCATTTTTTAAATGTAGATTGTAAGCCTTATTTGCAGGAACAAGGGGTGGGAAAGAAATTTGATTCAGTTTTCATGTACAACCTAATTTGCATTTCCTGAAAAAATACGAGAACCGAAAAACAGCCATCCTTCAAATTTGCACTTCTTTGAATTTTACAGTGCAGTTCTCCGGCCAAGTAATGTGTACAAACACACACATACTGGGATAAAATGCATGCATAAAAATGCGAAAATGGCATGTGAGAATGCATGATATTAGGGGGAATTGCTTTGCAGAAATGTGCATATTAGACGAAAGTGCATTTACAAACATATGCATTTTAGAAATAATTAGAGGATGCTGAAGAATCTTCATGGGGACTTTTCCTTTTCATAAGAAAAACCTGCAAACTGATGTGGCAATGCAGAGAATTAAATTTAGGGCTGGAAAAACGAGAAACAGGTGAGAAATCAAAAGTGATACACCTGCCCAATTTGTAGAAGGGCTCGTGTAACAATGGCACTGGTCAAAGCAGAGATTCCTTTTTTGTTGTTTGAAGAACACTTCTCAGGGCATAATACCCTGCAGTCATATTCTCTTCTATTTGGTGCTGGTCCTTAGTGAGCCCCTCTTTGTCTTTGCAGGGAACATTGAATACAGCTGCCCGGCGACCAATGAGTGTGAAATCACAAAACGGAGGCGCAAATCCTGCCAGGCGTGTCGCTTCATGAAATGCCTCAAAGTGGGGATGCTGAAAGAAGGTAAGGCAAGCCGGGCGCATGACTTCTGTCGATTTGCCAACCCCTAGAAACCCTCACCTCTCTCTGACTGAGGCCAGATTATGCTTTTGATGTGAAGGAGGAAGCAGCTGGAGTTGGTTCGAATTCTGAGTGACCAAGGGGAGGAACACAATGGCATGCCGGTTGTGTTAAAGTGAAATTCTGTTCCTGACCTGACTGAAAATGTTAAAAGCAGGCAAATCGAAACCTAACACACCACAGTCAGGTGTGAAAAATGCATATGTGCTTAACTGCAGTTATGCATGTTTCGCTCGTTTGTTTCAAAGAGTTGGTGTCCCAGCCTTCGATTTCAGACCTCCTAGGTCAGCTTCCACAAAAAATGGAAATGTGTTTTTAGGTGCTTTGGCAAATAAAAGGGTATTTGCCCAGCACTGGAAAAACTTAAGATTCCCCAGTCCAATCTGAGGAGCGCATTCCACAGTTTGGGTACCACACCTGAAAAAAAGACAAGATTTCTCTGTGGCCTGCCTAATCTCAGAATGTGGAAGTACCCAGAGAAGGGACTTAGAAGATGACATTTGGGTGAGAATGTAAGACTCTGACACTGATGGATACATGCAGATGGTGCCATGGCTCCCAACGCAATATGCTGCTGTCTTTTTTAGTCTATTGTGCTGTTTGTATTGATATTTTGTTCCATTGGAAACCCTCCTCAGAGGGGTTGCACTTGGCTTATTTTCCACGCATGAAAAATGCCTTTTCCTTAAAAAAAAAAAGGGGGGGGAGTCATCTGAGCAGTGGCTTTCCCTTTTGCTTTCTTTATAGGTTTATAGGCACTTGAAAATGGCTGAAGAATCATTCCTTTCATTCCCCATTTATTTGTACACATTTATTTTATAAGAAACATTTACGGAAGTGGCATGCTACAAGCTATAAGATTCCATACATGTAAAAACAGAACTGTGCACTGAACATTGGTATGTTTGCAGAAGAATGTGGGGTTGGAATGAGAAGGGTTGAGTAAACCTATCCATTTCAGTCCTATATCAGTTGATGGGGTTTTTTTTAGTCCTTGTGAAAACTTATTTGCCTTGTAATGCAAATCTCACCTACTATAAACATTTTTGCAAAGTATTTCCCCCTCATAGAATGCATTTTTGTATGTCTCCACCTGCTCTAAGACATGCATTTTTATGCACACACAAACTCCGTTACATGCCTTTCGGTACACATTGCTTGACTGGAGAACTGCATTACAAAACCTGGAGAAGTGTGAATTTTGAAAGGTGGTTGTGTTTCGGTTCTTGTGTTGTTTCAGGAAGTGTGTGTTATGCTGGTTCGCCTTCCAGTGCAAACTGAATCAAATTCTCTCTCTCTCTCTCTCTCTCTCTCACACACACACACACACACACACACACACACACACACATCCCTAGGCACAACTGGGAAGAAAGTTTGATCATAGTCCATTTGTTCTGAGAGGAGATAAACATCCCTGGCTGGAGAAAGGCCTTTGTCCCTGTGCAGGTGGTCTCCTTTGCCCTGCAGTGCTCAGCCCACCATCTCACCCCACCTATTGATCTTCTCAGTGTTGTCTGAACAGTGCTTGGCTCATCCCCTTGTGCTCCTCTCCTCCCGCCCCCTCCATCCATCCATTCAAGGTGCGCCACTGGGAATTCAATGGCAATTAAACACATTCTTATGGATTGGCTTCAAAGCTTCATTTCCCTGGGCTCCCTCCAGAATGGAAGGCTGGGGGGGGGCAGGAAGGAAATGTAGCACTTGTAACTCTCTGCATCGATGTACTTGGAAAAGCACAGCTGCCTCACAGCCTAACCCACACGGAAAGGATATCAGCACTGGAGAGTGCTCCAGCCCAGCACATTTCAGCCAAAGCAGGCAGGCTGCCATCTGTGGAAGCCAGAGATGAATTGGAAGCCATAGTGCTTTCCTCTGAGGTGTTGCAAGAGTGATAAAAAGCTAGTGCTGTTGGTAATGTAGATTTAAACCCTGTTTTGCCCTTTGATTGACAGATCTTATCTGAGGTTAAATTTCTGCCTCTCGCTCACTCTCTCTCGACTGGAGCTCTCCTGACATTGGTGAGCTCAGGCCTGTGACCCTTCGTGACCTTGCTTTTAGATTAGGATGGTGATGGATTCAGAGAGAGAAATTAGCCTGCTTTGAAGGTGGTGGAGTGACCTAGCGATGTGTTGTCCCTCGGAAGCCGGGAAAGATGAACTCTCTCTCGGTCCCTTGGATTCTTCCATTTTACTTACTCTGATTTGCTCTTTTCCTTTACAGCTTCAAACCACATTCATTCCAGCATCCACTTAGGGCCCAGTTCTTTATCTCATATGGGCTTTGCAGCACTGAAGTTTAGATTACACTGCTCCAAAGGCACACTGCTTTAATTGAACATGTAATCATATTATATGTGCAACCATTAATAGTAGTGATTCAGGACGTGCCTGTTGCCAGGACCTTGGATTGCTGCTGTTTGTCGTGATCATTTATACTTCCATCCTATGATAATAAACATCTGTATGCAGGAAGCCATGAACTATTGTTACTGCTATAAAGTATGCAACTACTAGCAACAATCATTGTAGCATTGTTATTACTATTATTATCTGCAGTAATATTATTTGCAGAAGAAAAGGAATTCAGTCAATACAATGGCTTTAAAAAGCCCAATAAAGGCAAAAAAAAATAGTTTTGTGGTATTTAGTCTCCAAGGAGTCAGCAATTTTCTAGGAAGAACAAATCCAAAATTGTTTGACTTTCAGCACAGAGATGCAGAATTGGCTGGGGATTTTAGTTTATGAAGGGTTCATTGGCTCTTCCTACCTCTGGCTCTCTTAGATCATCCATTTAATCTCCCAGTCAAGGCAGGGTTGTTCCCAAGTGCACATTTTTCTAGTATTATATCCAGGTCAACCTTACAAGTTCCAAGTGCTTCCCTTGAGAAGCACCTCATACTGATCAGAAGAGAGCCTTGATATTCAAAGTAATATTTTTCTCCTTCCGGGATCCCATTCGTCATATTGTCCCCTATCACCAACACTTCCAAATACCACATTAAACAATTCTCCGCTGCTTGCTGTTTTGAAAGAGATACAATGTGCTTTTGCCATCTCTAGAGAAGTTAGGATCACATCAGACTGTAACAACAATTCTGGCAGTTATAGAAGATAGCTCTCTTCTTATTTTCTAGTTTTTAAAATCTTGATTTTCTCTTGTGACCCATTACCGGTCACATACTATAAAGTTCTGGTGAAAATCCCAGTGAAAACACAGATCTTCTTAACAAAGGGATAACGAGATTCCCTGTTTGGTGTTTTGTTCTTTGGGGCATTTTCACACAGACTAAAAATAGAGTCCAGCTGAGCACAATGTCATCTCCGAAGTGCCCAGAGCTAAATAATATAATTGGGAGTTGTCTTTTTTTGAAGTTACTGTAAGGTCATTTTTGCCATCATAGCGCAGTTAGATTTATTTGGAGCTCGCGTGTCTAACGAATCCAGTAGTTACTGAAATCATGACTCAACATTACTCCAAAAAGTCTCTAAACAAGTTTGCTGGATATTTCCAGGCACCTGCCTCTAGCTTCTCTTCTGTTTGGCATCAGCAAACATCTGCTTCTCCCTCAAACTTACTGGCACAGTTTGTTGACTGTTGCTGGTTACAAGCTGAAAGACCCTTGCTGTCTGTCTGAAGCCCATCTGACAATGGCTGTACGCTCTCCTGAGCCTCAGATGAGTTGCAAGGGCCTTTGGGGAAGGAAGAAGAAGTGAGCAGTAGTCTAGTCCCTGCAGTCCCTTTCCCCACCCAAGAAGCTTCCTTCTTCATCTTTAGGTAGGACTTTGGTTAGGAGCTGTGTGATAGAGCTCACACACTAATGGTGCAATCCTAACTATGTCTGCTCAGAACTAAGTCCTGTTGAATTCAGTGGGTCTTACAACCCAGTAAGCAGGGATCAGACTGCAGCCTAAGAAGACCTTTTGGGCACAAACCCAAAAGGCAAGATTTGCCAGAAATAGAGACTGTCTTTGTCAGGTTATGGTGACGGGGGGCGGGCGGGTGGGGGCGGAGGAGGTGGAGAGGAAGGCTCCAAATGAATCCTTAAAGACTGTGAAAGACTATCCTTGTGAATGTACCCAGCACTGGGGGTTTGTTATGGCGAAGGAAGCCCATAGGGAAATTCGTTTTGCGAAGCGCCTCCAAAACGGAAAACCCTTTCGTCTAGCGGGTTTTCCGTCTTGCGAGGCGTTCGTCTTGCGGGCACCACTGTATATACATATATAGGGACGCGGGTGGCGCTGTGGTCTAAACCACAGAGCCTAGGGCTTGCTGAACAGAAGGTTGGCAGTTCGAATCCCGTGACTGGGTGAGCTCCCGTTGCTCAGTCCCTGCTCCTGCCCACCTAGCAGTTCGAAAGCACGTCGAGTGCAAGTAGATAAATAGGTACCGCTCCAGCGGGAAGGTACACAGCGTTTCCGTGCACTGCTCTGGTTCGCCAGAAGCGGCTTAGTCATGCTGGCCACATGACCCAGAAGCTGTCTGCGGACAAATGCTGGCTCCCTTGGCCTATAGAGTGAGATGAGTGCTGCAACCCCAGAGTCGTCCGTGACTGGACCTAATGGTTAGGGGTACCATTACCTTTTTATATACATATATATCTGATACATGGTGATAGTATCAGTCTAGACTAGGAACGGAAAACCTTAAAACTGAGCTACAAATCCAGCAAAATCCTTTGGTAGACAGCATTTCAGACTGCCAAGTGGAGGGTGATATTTTTGAATGTCCCCCATGTTAAAAGCAGCAACAGTGTCTTCCTTGAATATGGAAAAAACCAGTACATCAGGAACAGGCATAGCCTAGTACCTTTCTCTTTGATGTGCTGCATAGGTATAACTAGAGAGGTAACTCCTCCTACAGTCTGATTTGGTAAAATCAAGGGAAGACTTTGTAATGTTATTTTAATAAATATATAGCTCTCTTTTTTCTTGCAAACTGCC